CAACCGTCATTTTTCTAGACGTTTTTCGCAATGACACAATTATATCTACTGATCGTAACTCGTTATGACGACGTTTGGGGCCTCCACAGACTGCTACAGTTATCAAATATCGATATCGTCACATATCAAAGTTTTTTCTTTTTTAATTGGTATTGATGTGTTTCCTTTCTAATAGAGGCCTCCTTGTGCTTATGTCACGAAAATCGTAAATCAGGTCCTGTCTGATGTGGTGACATCCCTATATGACATATATAAATATACAATATTATATGATTTGCTCTGTGACAATTTCAAAACGCGTACCCGGTACCTACGAGTCGTCGAGAAAAATATATATTTCTCAGCAAAACAAAAATAAATTGGGGATCATGAACAATATATTCCCTATTTATTGGCTACACAATAGATGAATCAGGATAGATTTCCAGGACAAACTAGACAAGGAGGATTAGTGATGACCGAGGCGTACAAAGTGTAAAGTGCAGCAAGAATCTTTTTGCGAGTCAACGAGAATCAAAGGTTCGTTGTCGATTCGCGAAATATTATAATACCTATAGGCTATGACTATTAAATGTTGATCCAAAATTCCGATGAAGTTTCGTACTGTCCAACTGATATATTCTATATTTCTATAATCCATATATACATAATGGACGTTCTAATATTTACAATTTACATACTATTCAAACGGGTGTGTCCGCGACAGATATTGCTCACTATAATACAGTTCGGTTACAATTGCAGACAGTAAATATAGTCATAAAGAGCACTATTGCCTTATATTATTATGACGTCGTGATAATCCGACCCAATAATCGGATGAATAATAATATAATGCACAACGGTATTAAATATCATATGTTAATATAATATAAAGGTAGGTACAGTAATATACAAGAATATTTATTTTACTACTATTATTAGTATCATTATTTTTTTTTGAGTATCAGCCATCAACTACAAGGTTTTAGCCGAGGTTTTACCTTACATATCACTTGAATTATTTACACTGGATTAATCCTTACACTTCGTTTTTTTTTTAACAAGATATAAATGGATTTATAGTTATGTAGGTATTGATTTTCTGGTATGAGGAATTTATTGTTGGGCTCGGCTTAGTAAAATTTGGTTATTGGACCATAGTGCGGTTTGACCGTCGTGTCTTGTGCATTGGATGTTTGACATAAGTACGTAACAAAAATAATAATGATAAATGTATTATTATTATTATTACTACTACCTGCGAATTCACCTGGAAATTCTGCTCGTTAGGTGGGTAGGCGATTATGCGCTAAAAGTTCAACGCATCACATAGGCTGCAAAACGCATTACGTAGGCGAGTGGTTTCATTGCTGCGCGTTTAAATATTTGAAATTCAAATGTAACAAAGTAGTATTATTTATGTACTTACATTTATAATATGTTTGTTATTATATATGTATGGCGAATTAGTTTATTATATTATTATGTTTGTACCTGCGACGTTGCTCGTGCGTAACGCGTATAGGTACCTATATACAATCCGTTTTATTTAAATCACTCTTCTCGAGCAACTCGCTAATGCTGACAATTAAAATTTAAAACTAAACTCGAATGATACACTTTATAGCTGTATTATAGGTGTGGAGCTGTATACCCACCATGATGTATTATACGCTCATATAGGTGATCCTTTAGTGTTGCATGCTAAACCACTGCGGGCTATTGTTTAACGGTAAGCTATATGTTTGAACAAATACGCGTTTATTATTATTCGGATGTGCACGTATACATTACATAATTTATAAAATATGTATATTAAAGTGTATAATATGGACAGCACAGGATACGAAATATTGGCAAGTTACCACCGTATGCAATTGTGCTTGTCGATTCACAGCCGTGTATTGTACATTTATAATTTATAATACATAATATAATATATATGCGGTACCTACCTACCTACCTAAAGGTTTCACGGTTGTCTTGTATATTACGAAAATGCAGATATTTTAATATATTAAAAATACAATTGTACCTACATAGTATAATGTATATCTACTTTATTATTATTATTCGTATCTCATTAAAAATCATCTGAAAACTATTAATTTCGTTATTTGTTGGATTACTTTTAATTTTAGGCAGATATTATATGTACTCTGTGCACGCGTTATTCGCGCAGTAAAATAAATAATAATATTATAATATATACTTGCTACGATTTATTATCACCCGTACGTGTGCAGCCAACAAGACCGAAATACGTAATGTCTCAATGTTACATTATTTTTACAACTCTTAGTAGGTAAACTTACCAAGACGTATAATGCGTACACTTATATCGCCGTTTTCGATCGAATTTGCGGGCCATAACGGTCGTACGTTGCAGATTGCGGCCTTTCCGTTTGTACGCGGTCCAAGTTGAAATAATATGAATTATGTGGGTAGTTTCCTATTTATACCTATACTCGTGTCGATGCGATCTTGGCGATTTCTCGTTAAAACTACGTAAAAGTGGACTGCGCGGACTCCGCACTCGGAAGAAATAGAAAAACGGTCGTGTTATCTCCATACGACCAGCGCGAGCACTTTTCATTTTCACGTGTACATATATCGTTAGGCAGCAGAATAGTCGTTATCTGTACGGTATTATATGTGTGTGTGTGTGTGTGTGTGTGTGTGTGTGTACACTTACATACGTATGTCGAATCGTGACGGTGGCCAAGGCAAGTTGCTAAACGCTCGAGATGTCTGACCCGAATACCGATTGACCGTCGTGCCGGCCGCCGCTCGGTCGGTATCGGGCCAAAAAATCCTATCCACAGATATTGTTGTAGGTAGGTATATTATATAGGTACACACATACCTCTACGCCTATAATATATCTTTCGAAAAATAAAAAAAAACAATAATATATTATTATTGAATATATGCGTATACACAAGTACGCTCGGGCACGGTTGTGGAGTTGGATCGGATTCCGATGTATGGCCTTGGAAGAAGGGTTAGGTGTATTGTAATATATGTTATATGCTAAGTAAACGCGCAGTTGGGTGAAAAGTTGTCGTCGTCGAATAAAACAATATAATATTATAGCTCGTCGTGAAGTCGAGTATATGTGCCGATTCAAGTATGGGTATAGGTGTAATGTATATGATAATAGAAATAATCGGCCAAATAATAAGGGCAGTATACCGCTAATGACAATAACAATAATAATGTTGTACAGCGATCGGATTAGATCTGCGTCGGTCGTGTTCCGAGTATTAAAATAATATTATATTATTATTATTGTTGTTGTTATTATATAGCACATGCTCTCTCGTGCGGCGAACGTTTTCACAGTGAAAAATCTTAAAATCTCTATCTTTTTTTCGCAACCAATACTCGTGTAAGCAGTCAACGCATGGCGTAGGTAATGCACATAACGCACCAAAGTATATCCAGACTTGTAGATATACTCGAGGTACCTTTATAATGTCTATATACGTACGGTGCATTACGTTTTAAATAAAATCATTCGAGAAAGTATTTTCCCGATACGAACAGAAAGACAATAAATATTATTTAAAAAAATAATAAAAATAAGCACAATACTATCATATTATAGCCCGTGTTATATGCGTATAGGTTCTACACTATCGTTTAGTCACGATTGCTGAAAAACTTTAAGTGATTTGTATATTATTATATTCTATTCATTGAATGTTTGCCCCCTTCGAATTACGTATTCAACGTAAATTATATAATACAAAAGACACACGCGTGTGTGTATTATAAAATATGTATTTACGCTGCAACATTACTTTAACCTAAATAGTAAATACTATAGGTACCCATATTATTATTATAGGCTATAGTTTTTAGTTATTATCGAGTGTACCTAACCATTTATTTGGTAGAATGCATAAAACACTCGTTGCATCGTACATGGCTAATTGCGATTATTATTTATCGCTATTGCGTTTGCAGTAAATATGTATTCCGCGCGTTTCTAACCGATCGGCCGAAATAATTCCTTTTGATTCTTTCGTGAGACTGTTCGTGCACATTATTGAGTTATGTACTCCACGGCAGCCGGATCAGTATATAATATAAGATGTAAGAGTTATGAGAAATTTAAATAGGTAGGTAGGTATTATATCCACCCGACTCGATGCTAATAGGTTTATGTTTGTACTATTAATTCGATAATAATAAAGATAAACCAGAGGTATACAGGCATTTGGTTTTATAATAGTGTAGAAATTTAAAGAGATTTCTATAGGTAGATGCATGATATAAGTAGTAGACGGTATACCTATAATACATCAATCCAAAATTGTTAATTACAAATGAATTGACAGTAAACATAATAATATATCATATATATTGGTGTTATATATAGAATGCATTCTCAAACCCCGTGTTATATAAACAACAATTTCTAATTACTTATATCGAGTCACAAATATAATATTACCATCGTTAAAAAAAAAATAATAAACGTGCCAATGCTGCAGTACGTAAACGCACATTATCTATTAATTAAAAAAAATGACATACTAAAATAATAATAATATGATCGTCAATAATATTATACTGTACGCGACTTCCACTCAAAAAGGTCACGTGCCATTATTATCGTACATGCGCATAACTGCTGCATGGTATGGACTTTCACTCGTCAGTCTCAAGGGGTTTTTGGACGAGAAAAAAACACCTCGTCTCACTTACACTGCAATTTTATTGTGCAATAACAATAATAATTATGTGTTATGTAGGTATATAATAAATATGCGATAAATATTGCCGGTTGAAAAATCTCGCGACGTCGGATTGTGAGGAGCAGCTGCAGAAAACAAGTCTTAAAATATTACTTATTTTCGAACTTATTTGCTAATGACTGGGACGCCCGCGACCACGAGTACCTACGTGCTTGCGGTGTGCCAGTGCGGGTGATTTTCGTAATGATTTTGGTACCTTATACCTGCCTATTAAAATTATTTATTTGATTTTTTTTTTGCGTTTTGTTTCAGGATGGATCGTCGACGGTTTATAGCCGCAGCGTGGACTCCGCTACTGCTCCTGCTCGTCTTGGACAAAGGATACCGACATGGCGTTTATGCCAAACCAGGTAATTTGATTGTAAAAGATTAGAGTCGCGCGTATTTTATAATATAATAGCATTCAAGTGCAAGAATAATAGCAGCTATGGGTACCTACCTATATAATGCAATCTGCAACGTTATCGCACTGTTACGATGCGGTCGCGTTATCTTATATACGGTAGAAAATTCATCTGTGAAATAAAAAAAAAATAGAATCTCATATGCAATGCAGTAGGTATATATACGTAAACATTAAACAACACATATTATTATTACCTATATTATTTATCGTCTTAGCAATCTGTTTTTATTGTAATATTTATTTTATTTGAGTCCGGACGTGATATTACCACCGGTGCCTGGTATATATATAAATACAATCCTGAAAAAATGAATAGTAAAAAAATAACAACCGTTTATATAAACCGACCCCGAAGAAATTATACGTGACGTCATCGGATAATATGTAATAATTCTACCTCCTATATACTATAATATATTTCCATACGACTATATAATAACAATAATATGTAATGTGCGCGTATGTAGTGTGACAACAATTTTCTCCATGCCCATAAAAACATTAAACAAGTTTGTTTACTTATACGTATTATTCAATTGAAAAATATAGTAATTCGAAAATTACCATACACCAATACTTCATCGAAATGAGTTAATTAGTTAGATCCGTGGGATTGTGTAATCGATTGTCGCTTCGCATATATATATATATATTTTTTTATATTATATGTTTTAATCTTATATATGGCTTGTATAATATTATATATTAAGAAAAACATTTACGGAGGATTGACGACCGGTTTGTGTATACTGTTGTTGCTGTATATCTAAAGGGTCGTAGAACTCGTGTGAACATCTTACATGTGTTTATGGGTACATATATTATATATTATGGATTTAGTGAATTATGTTCAAAATAATAATTTTAAGGAAAATAATAAAAACCAAACAGGAAATTAAAAGAACCTAATATAGTAGTCATTTTTGGCATGAAGGAAGAGTAGGTATAAGGTATACAATATACCTACCGATCGCTACGGGTTAGGAACTTTATCTCTATATTTCAACTCAGTGGCAGATCTATTATTTTATTATTCGTTGGGGAGGGGGGGGGGGGGTGCAAAATTGTTCAAATTCAAATGAAATACATATTTATATTATTAGTTTTAATTTACAATAAGTGTACCTACGTACTTTTAACATTGGTCATGTAATTATTTATTGCCTATATATTATAATTAATGATCTTATATATATTTTATATTTTATTTTGTTACTTATAACTTATAAGATTTACGTCACAACTATTTGCTAACATCATAGTTAATGAACCAGGGGGGGGAGTTTAAGTTAGGCCTCTTAAATCTGCCCCTGTTTTGACTTGCAGTAGATCGATGTAGGTATCTGTACTTGAACTTGTATCCGTTACAAGTATTATCTATTACAAAATAATCTTCGGTTAAGTTTTTCCCCGTAAATAAATAATAATAATATGTATAAGCAACTGTAACTATTATTTTTAATGATATACCTAATGTTTTCGTGCAATTAATTGATTGGTGTTCTACAACTGTATCTTCTTCGATATTCTCAAGTCTAAAATAATAACAATCAAAATATTGATTGGACACGTTTTGAATCGAACTCATTTTTATTATATTTTAGGGCTATGTGAGATGGAAACTGGCCAAGGAAACATTGTGCTGGACATCGAAGAAAGTCGTGGGTCTCGTAAGTATTTATTTTTTTCAATAAAATCCAATTTGTCATGGCAATAAAAGAAGATCCATTTATATTTCCACGTGACGTGTGTTGATTTGTCTCGGGTTACTCGGGTTACCGATGGTTTGACGGGTTCGTGTTGAAAAGATAATTTGTGGCGGCGAACAAAGGTCTATGCTTGCTCGCTGGAGGGGAACTGCTGAAGTATAAAACAAAAAATTATTCTATTATATTTTTTAAAAAACATTCATCATTATTACAATTGATAAATTATAATTTATATGGATAGATACTATTATGATAGTAATATACGCGGTAGTTTGACTTGAAATGTTTGCACAAATGTGATGGCATTCGGGAAATCCTTAGAAATCCCTCGTTACTCGCTTTTTGGTGACATTTAATAGGTGCCATGCGATAATTATACGTTTTCTAAACTTAGAAATTAATTTATAAAAAACTAGACCGTGCGAACTCGTCCGAATAATATACTACTTACATACACCATAGTCACGCTGTATAATTGTCACCATCATCACACACGTTCACACGTCACAACTCGCAACAACAACGAAAACGTAAAACTGATTATTACTCGTCACAACAATAATTGTACCGTTATCCTGGAGCTATTGGCAGTTAATATATTATTATACACCTCGCGCGAGATGTGCGATGCCAACGTTAAGCGTGCCACCTTTACAATGGACCATCGTCGTTCTACGGTCGCATTGTTTATTGTGCCGGTATTTGACCTGATAACGCTTACCTCAACCAATCAGCGGCAGCACGTACACACAGCTATTGGTAGTAAATACAATATAGACGTGTCGGGAAGTTTCAGCGTGGAGTAATATCATTATATGCTCCACGTCCACTGTAAATATAAGTACATAATACATACATATATCATACTATATCAATAGGTCTTATCCCAAATGTCATTCGATAATCAGTTGCAAGGTATGGAAAATATTTCGTCCAACGAAATCGACGCGGAACGGGTTGATAGAGATATATTATAGTAGGATATCAGACTTCCGCCTCACACGTCACTCGTACGTCTACGATTATTGCTGTTGTTGTAATGTACAATTGACGAGCCGTTAAAACGATTCCCACGATGAGATGTGATTCCTCGCCGAAGCGGTGAGCCCGAAAACGTTCAAATAATAATTATATTATTGTGTATTGTAGTCGGATTTTGCGGAAAATGAAAACTTCTCATGGAAACGAAAATGTATCAGCGAGAGTTGAAAATTTTTTTTTTTTTAAATTTGGAACATCACCTAGATTTTATAACGTTACGTTTGTGCTCCAATCGACGAGTCATCCGACTGATATCTTTTATTTATTCTATTTCTTTTGTGAAAATACGCTGCAGCACGAAACGTGTTAGGGATCGCGTGCCTCCATAACTGACTTTTTAAAACGCACTAACCGTAGTTAACGCACAATAATTATGCGTCATTATATCCTGGCGATTATATGTAATGAAACCGCCCGAGGATGCTGTGAGCTTATGATAATATATTATACTAAGTATCAACTGGATATAATGTGATATCGTGATCTCCTTTAACGTGCTACAATAATAATGTAAAAATGTAAAATATAACCTGTAGGTAAGTAACACATCTGTTGATGTTTTGTTTTATTTGTATACAGAAATAAATCAACCCATCAAACCGGCCGAATTACCGATCATAGGAGATCCGTACACTGAAATATCTTTGGATTTACTTTTTCCGACTAGAAACCCAACGTTCACGTTAATCGGAAAACATATCCAACTGACTCAGCCTCTGGACAGAGATGCGGAAAACTTGTCCCACATCGTATTTCAGGTAACCTAACTATATATTTTGCCTATATTAATAGTTTTGTTAAAACAATTGTTTAAGTACATTATAATAATATACTAAATATATTGAAGTAGCTCAACACTTTTTTAAGGAGTTTTAAGAACCCTTACTCTCTTTTCTTTTAGGTTACGTGTGTGGTAAGGTCTACCAACAAAAAGAGGACCATACCCATAATAGTCCGCACGACCGACATTAACGACAATGCACCAGTGTTTTTGGATACTCCGTACCAAGTATCGGTTCCCGAGGTATGTACCGCTATAATGGTTCATTAATGATGCGTAATATGCATAATTTTTTAATTTTTATCGTTTAATTATAAGTTCTCACTAATTCGTTTTCGTGTGTGTGTGTTTAGTTGACAACAGTCGGCACATCTGTAGCAGCTGTGAAAACAGTGGACGCAGACACCGGTGTCAACGCTCTAGTCGAGTACTTGGTGATTCCCGGAAACGTACCGGAAGAAGAACTCCAAAAAGGTAGAGTCAGCGATGGCGTCAAACACTTCAAGATGAAGTCTTCCAATTCTGGCGAAATAATACTACAGAAAGGCCTGGACTTTGAAAAAGTTCAAAAATACTTCGTAACGATCCAAGCAACGGTACGTGTAGAATTGAATGTTATTTAAATGTTTAATTATCATCATCGCGATGTATTCAAAACGATTTTCGGTGGAAACGAATTTTTAATGGGTGTACCGTATACAGCGCAGCTATACATTAGATATTGTAATTGTATAATCAGTACCGCAGTAATTATTTTTCTCCGCGTTGTTGATTCATAAGCCGAAATCGACTCTTTGGAACCGTATCCTCAAACTACGAAACCGTGTAATATTCTTAAAATATAATATTACGTTTATGGTGCACGCACCATACGCGATAGGGTTTAATAACGAGGCCAAAGTGGAAATGTCCAATTTAAGCAAGCCGCTCTAGTTACACTGGTATTTTTTTCTTTCTTGCAGACCGGTTATAGATACTATATTTTCTTTCTCACATGCATACGCATTTTATCCGATTTATTATACACCTATACGCTTACACCACTTCCCTTAACAAACGAAACGTATACGAAAAGGAGGGATTACACTTACCTACACACATCGCCTCTCGTTTTGCACTGCAGACAAACGTCCTACGCCGTGATAACTGCGACCACTGGTTTAGATTGCGCGCCTATTTTATGTATGCATCATCTCCTACGGATTTCTTGCATAGTAATGACTCATCATCAATCCTACACCTGTTATTTCGTATTATTTTTATTTTTTTTTTTCTTGATGCCTTACGCCAGACAATAATATTATATTATAATATGATAATAATAATTGAGTGTTGAAATTAGCCAAAAAAATAGCGTTGGCGGTTGATAATACAATAATTATAATCATAATATAATAATACCTAGGTGCACACGCATAATGTGTAGTACGATCTGTTGACAATGGATAATCATATTATTTCAAGTCGCTTGCGTTTTAAACACATTTTCGTGTTATTGTTTGCGAGCCACTTTATGATATCAATGTTTTGTACTATTATTTTTTTTTTATTTTGAAAATACTTAGCTTATCGAAACAATAGAAAACAAATTTACACTTAATACTCATATTTATAAAATGTTACTATACCTATACACGCATGTAGCTTGGTTTTAATAATGACGTGAGCAAGTCATTCTGGTTAGATTAGTCAGGCTAATTGTTGAGGCGTTAAAATATATCCTAAACGTAGAGATCTTAAGATTTTTTCTTTTAATTCGACCTCGAAGCCATTATAGTAATAATTCTATTTCAACACACATTAAATTTGAGTATTTAACAACTGACATTATTTGTTATCGTGTCATAAACCCACTTAGAAATGATATTTATGGTTCACAAATGTTGACCTTCACTATATATTCGACCCTTGTGTTATCAATAGTGTATATACTGTAAACATAGGTATACAGTATATCTATCAATTAAGCAATCAAAATACAATAAAAACTGATTCTGCTTTACCCGCCATGACGACGTAAAGGTAATGATATTTCATATACCTAACTATACGATTTTTGAAATAGCCATGACCGTTTTTTAAAAAAAAATTCATACGACCTTTATTATTTAAAAAAACGTATCACATAGTGTTCACCATAGCATGTTTTGAGTGATGGGAATTCACGAAACTCCATAACCCGGCCTGCAGTCGCATTAAATATTAAATATTATTATTATTATATAACTAGTAAGTACCCACCTGGCCACCTACCTACCCACAACGATTGGATGAAATCATTCGTAAATGTACGCGTCATTCTGCGTGTGTATACTGTGAAATATTATTTACAGTTACGCTTCGAACAATAATATTATAATTAATATTCTATGTTTTAACCCGCCGTGTGTCGAATAAATAGAACAGTCGGATGTCGATGAACGGTAGGTGTATATAGGTATTATATAGTATAGAGTTGTTTATATTATTATTTGAATATTACACGCATCCAAATATGCGCAAGCACACGCGTACACACACGCTACAGCAGCGTACACACTACTCACCATTATTCGTATATAGGTACCTGGTACACACACACACTGTACATATGGCACATCTATGACACAGAGAACAGCAACGGTTGCAGAGGTCGGACACGTTTTTTAAATGTTTGGATGCGTGAATCGTCGTAGTCGATGTTTAAATGTTTCGAAATGGATAGGTTCTTTATTTTGTTCGGTTGTTGTTGGTATGTTTCGTACGCCCTGGGACAGGCGACGGAATTCGACGTCGGCCCCATTTATCTGTACCCTCTGCCGGTCGGTTCCACATAATCCCGTTTGTCTCCGATAAATTGTATTTTCACAGCACCGTTGAACGAATGAAATAAACATGATTTCAGGACCGAGCCAAGAATCCCGAAGACAGACTTACGTCGACGACCACGCTTACGGTGATGGTGAAAGACGAAGACGATCAGGACCCGTCGTTCAACTATCAAGGATGCACGGTTCAAGACGGAGCTTGCATAAATCCGGAATATCACACCACCGTGAGTGACCATTATAATATTAAAATAGTTCATACATCCGTAAATAGAACCTATGCAAAGATTTGAACATGATATCGGTATGAATCAGAATGCGTTCGGGTTAATTCAGTCCATTATTTTCTGCTCTAAAAATCAAAATGACCAATCCGATATATTACCATAATATTATAGTATTATACCTATATAATATAATACTACGTGCGTACTATAGTTGTTTCATTCATGGGAGAGAGTTAAACATTTAACGCTTAACCGGTTTTCCGGTTGCCCGCAGGTTTCATATGAACTACTATAATCGTAAACTATATTACATCTATTATATTATCGGTTTGATAAGTATTTGTGTGTTGAATGGAGGGGAGTAAATATAAATGTCATTTTTTTGTGATTTATTATTAAAGTCGAATGATTGTGATTTACGATGATAAACGTAAATACATGTGCAGAAATCATACAAGTCGTTACAGTCGTTACAGATGTTAACGTGTTCAAACGTTATTCTTAATATTATATTAGTAATAATTACAATATTATAATATAATATGTAATATATGTTCTTGCAATATATCTACTTAAAGTGATTAATGTTTTCTATTAAAATAATACAAAACCTATTTTATTTTCAGTAAAAATTACTTGTAGTTTGTATTGACTTAAAAAGATCCATTAGTTTAAATCTAGTAAAAAATGTTGTCCAAGCCCACAAAGTGAGAAATAACAGATTGTTGTATACATTAGATTTGCTAAATTTTTCAATTCGTCATTGTTGTCTTATTATAACTTATAACTTATATAGTTATGTGTTAAAATATATCTTTTGTTTAAACTAAAAATAATAATCTGTACTTAATAATTATTTCATGGTCGATACTAAATTTATTCTAACAAAGAACGATTTACTTTTACTTTCATGTACCTAAATTAAACTTTATTGGGCTTTGTGAAATCATTAATGTTTTACTAAATATTTTTATATTTTATTCATAAGGTTGCCAGTGGTGTAAATTCTGGAGTCCTTACGATAAGGCCAGAAAAAATACAAGCTGTAGACATGGATTCTTTGAATTATCCAATTGAGTATACGTTTCTTGATGGGTCTCCGGCATTTTACGCAGAATACTTCACCATCGATCCTCAGTTCGGTACTGTGAAACAAATAAAAGCAGTAGACACTAGTTTGACGAAGAAATTTTCAATAACTGTCAAGGTAATTTATACAAATATTACTTATATGATACAGTTATATGAAAGATGAGTTGTCACAAATGATCGTGTTTAAGGCTGAAGAAGAATCATCCAATCATAGATCAACCACGGCTAAATTATACATTGAAGTAAAACCTGTCGATATCAATCCACCTGTTATACATAGTTCTGCTGTTGACGAAGGATATGGATTTGTAGAAGAAAACTCACCTGTTGGTACAAAAGTTTTAGATAAGAACGGACAACCAATCATGTTATCCGTAACCGACGACGATTTGGTAAATATTAAAACTAAAATGTAACACTAATTTTTCATGCACACAATGATATAAAACTCAAAATAAGTCATTTTAGTTTTTAATTATCGAAATATTTATTATATCTACGTGTAATTTATAGGGACCAAATGATCCTAAAGTAACTTATGCGTTTGAACTCACAACAAATTCTTTTAATGTGGATTCCGATGGATATATTTATGTAAATGAAGAAAAATTAGACAGAGATCCGCCAAATCCTGGAAAATACCGTTTTCAAGTAAATACAAATTTATATAAATGCTATAAAATTTGCTCACTTGTCAGTTGTACAGCTGTAATCAAACAAACGATTTTTTAATACTATTATGATTAATATTATTTTTAGATAGTAGCTAGGGAAGTCAATGGACACGCTGGTAGCATTCCATGCCTAATGACAGTGTTCTTGAAAGATGTGAATGATAATCCTCCACGAATGCCAATGTTGTCTCCGATCACAATCCAAGCTGGAAATTCTAGGCGTCAACTTGTCCAAGTACGTTGTGAATTATTATATTAAATGATTTTTATGAATTTTCACTGATTATCCACATTTTACGCAGATTAAAGCAGTGGACAACGACGAAGGTCAAAATGCTAATGTGTCGTATAGTATATATCATGTATCGAACCAAGGCCACAGTAAGTTTCATATTGATCCAATAACTGGTTGGATTGAAACCACTGGTCGAATGATGGCTGGCGATCAGTATAGTATAACTGTCCAAGCTACTGATTCGGGAGGTTTATACACCCAAAGTATTGTCGAAGTTGTTGTAATAGCAGGACCAAATACTAAATCGCCAGTATTTTCACAATCTTCATACGAAGTGACTGTCAGTGAAGGATCACCAATAAACACAACAGTTATCCCTTTGAAAGCCATTGATCCTGAAAATGATCCCGTCACTTACGCTATCTTATCAGGAAATGATTTAAGGCAATTTACAATAGGTGAAAAAACTGGAATAGTCAGTGTTTTACGAAAATTAGACCGTGAAGAGCTGACTCGTTATCAATTGGTAAGTTTATCGTTTACACAGATTTTGATATTGAGTACAATATTTTAATGAAAACCTATTATGTGTAAACAGTTAATCAAAGCACAAGACGAAGGAGGACTTTCGAGTACAACAACATTAAATATAAAAATTAGTGATATTAATGATAAGAATCCGGAATTCATTGGTGCCCCGTATGAGTTTTCGGTGGACGAAGGTTTAGACGGAGCCCCAGTGGGACAAGTAGAAGCTGTAGACGGAGACGAAGGAATAAATGCTTTAGTTCATTATTCGTTGCCAGACGATTTGCCATTTTTAATTGATGTCAACACAGGACACATACGTACTGCTACAGCATTGGACTATGAAAAAAACAATGTGAGTAGAAAAAGTTAATTTTCATTTGGAGTGTATACCTACGAGTAGTATATCGTATTTCATTTTATTAAAAAAAAACGTACTCGAATCGTAAATATTTTTATAGGAATATAAATTTGTGGTCACCGCCAAAGACGGAGCGCCAGATCCACGTATCGGAACTGCTTCTGTGACAGTTTCGGTTAAAGACGTTGAAGACGAAATTCCACTATTTCATAAGACATTATACGAAGCAAAAGTACCAGAGAATGCCCCTGATTTCCTAGTTACTCAAGTGCACGTGCGTATTTTTTTTTTACAATTATTATTATTACTACTTTTGCATATTTAAAAAATAATATACACTTGTCTTTAAAATTAATTTTGCTCATTGTATGGTTTGTTAAAAAAAATCATATTATATACCTAGGTACTTATAATATACTTGTTTTTATATAATTGCAGGCCGATGATCCCGATACAGTGAAACGAGTGACTTATGTAATAAAACAAGGACCTTCAGAATTATTTACCATCGATCCGACTACTGGGACGATTAGAACACTTAGAGGTTTAGATTACGAGAAAGACAGTCAGCATACGCTAATCATCGGAACATTGGAAAATTCAAATCAAACACACGGCGCCACGACGAAAGTGATTGTGAACGTAGAAGATCGCAATGACATCCCACCAGTGTTTCTAACCATACCTTCACCTGTAACACTTGACGACGATGTAGCCATTGGAACTAAAGTCACGACTCTTTTAGCTACTGATTCGGATGGAACATCCCCAGGAAATAAGGTAAAATAAAAAAAAACTATTTAATCCACTGAATCGTGATAAAAAAATATTGTATTCTAGGTACGGTATGAATTGAGCGGCCGTGGGAAGGCCTTAAAGTATTTCCACATAGACCCAGATCTTGGTGTTTTATACGTACGTGGTGATCTACAAAAAGAACCCGATAATGAATACCAGGTAAATTAGTTGTAACTATTTTATTATTGAGTTTAGAAATAATAAAATAAATATCTATATGTACCTAACAGCTTCCAAAACTTGGTAAATTATAATATCTTATGTGATATAAAAGTATTTACTTGGGACATTTTAGTTGAAAATATGTACAAATTATATTTTTATTATTTTAATATTATTACATTCACATTCAAACATTGGGTATCATAGTCAAATATAGGTAAAAATAAATTTACACGTAATAATCAAACACTCTCACGACTGCAACAGGTCACATTTACTATTTACATTTACTACAAATTTATTGCACATTTAACAAATATTGAAATATGTAACCTAATTATTAGTATAAACATAATATCATACTATACAGTTAACAATTGACCACCCACATTGATTATTTTCATAACATTTTTGAATAGGTACATGTTTTTTATGTACACAGTGCAGACGTGTACTAGACTAGACAGTCAAATTAATATTTCGGAAAACCACTAAAATCGATTAATCATTACTTTTTATCGGTTTGCCGAAATTTAATTATATTAATCAAATCTTCATGTTGTTATCAATTACTTTTTAACGACCACATAATACAAATAACTACCATTTACCTATAAATTACATTATTATTTTTTACAACTAAAATGTAAAATATTATACTGTACAAGTGTACAACTGATGAATAAATTAATAAATTAATAAATATTAAACATTGCATCATCAAACCCAAGTTGTATAATTATTATTTATAATACAGGTGGATGTAAAAGCTTATGATTTGGGCGAACCTCAGCTCTCGTCAGTGACATCAGTAACAATATTTGTTCGTCGTGTCACGACTCCAATACCAGAATTGGGAATGGGATTCTCAGACGATTCGTACTCCGCTCGAGTTTTAGAATCTGCCGTTGCTGGTACTTTAGTTAAAGTCCTGACTGTCGTACACCCAAGACCATCGCTACCCCTTCCTCTCGTGTGTACAATAGTTTCCGGAAACTCTGAAGGTAAAGCATTACAGACGAATACTCAATATAAATAATCATTATTAAATTAAATAATAAGTAATGATAATTTTATGATATCAATAACACCAGTGACGCAAATACTCATTTTCTATTGGTTTTAATCCCTATCTTTCTTTATTCCTACCAATTTTACATAGTATTATGGTTTAGATAATCACATTTTATTTTGTATATATTTAAACATAAAAAACATTTTAATTTGATATGAAAAAAAAACATGCCATAATACCCGATATTAATTGTGTCTGATTGGTGTGCGTAGATGTTTTTACAATAAACGTCACAACTGAGAAAAATTGTGAAGTGCGTTTAAAGGAAACGAAATTAGATCACGAACACGCAGAGAGTTATCAACTGAAAATACGTCTCGACACGCTTGCCGGAGTCGTTAACCCGACAAAAAGCACTACTATGGTAAGTACTGTGAGATTATAATATCAGTGTACTTATGTATATATTATTACAATCGAGTAGTGCTTAAATACCTTCTAATATATACATATATACCTAATAACAGTGTCTGTATAATATAACATGTCAATAAATTATAACACTCCGAATACGCTTCGTGTCATATATACATAGTTGAACGTGCAAGTGATCGACATTAACGACAACGTGCCCACGTTTGTGTATCCGGAAAGCAGCAAACGCTACGCCAAGAACGCATATTACGGAGCAGTGGCGGCCGACGAGGAAATTGGCAGTGCGGTGTTGCAGGTGAAAGCGGAGGACTTGGACGGAGGAAAATTAGGTGATGTGAGATACGAGTTGGCCGACGACGACGACCAGAACTCGGCGAAAGGTCCTTATTTCGCCGTCGACCCGAAGACCGGCATCGTGAAAACCCTGAGGACGCTGACCGACGTGCTTCAGCGGAACTTGCCGTTCCGACTAGTGGTCACGGCGCGGGACAACCCGGGGGCCACGAATCCCAGCGACTACAACACGGCCCAAGCACACGTCGTCGTGAGTGCCGAAAAAATAAATAAACACAAAATATGTCGTCACCCCCCCCCCCCCTCCAACTTATCCCCACACCTCGTCTGCGTGGACCGCGAGTTTGACCTACATAATATGTGTTTTTCTTTTGCAGATAAACGTGATCAAAGACCAACACCGCTTGGTGATGGCCATTGACGGCGCTCGTCCGGACGTCGTTAAATCGTCCGAGCACAAATTGATAGACGTGCTGGAAAAACAACTACAGCTGATCGTGGGCGGCGAGAGAGTGTCGGCCAAGCAGTACAGGCGGAGAGACAACCTGACCGTGGAGACCGACCCCAGCTCGACCGATTTCTGGTTTTACGTCGTGGACCCTGCCAGCGAGACGATTTTGGAACGAAACGACACCAAAGTGGTCAGGTAATTAAATAACGGCATGCAACCTAACCTACCCATAATAGCCTACACACAGTGTAATACGTGCAGCCGACGACGACGACGACGACGTACCTATAATATGCGCACAAACGGCGGGCTATAACGACCCAAGTTTCGTGTTTCCACAACCGGTTTGCGGTCGTCGATTCATTCTGCGAGAATATAAAACGGTTTCCGCCGTCTGGCACGATGACACTGCTGCTATATTACCTCCTATATTATATACGAGCGAATATTATTATTATTATTATTAATACAATACCTGATGATAGTTGTAAATTGACGTTTCGTGTTTGGTTTTTTTGCCATCCGCTCAGGTCGATACTGAACAAAGATTCCGTCGGAAACATTACTACGACGATCGCCGAGAAACTGTCAATTATCGCTTCGGATATCCATTTGCCGCTGCAACAGCAGAACGTCGTCACTCGGACCCACACCGCGGGCGTGACCATCCAATGGACCGTGTTCCCGTACACTCTGATCCTCATGGCGGCCCTGATCCTGGTGTTGGGCATCGCTGGCATAATTTACATATGCGTGTCCTGGTCGAGGTAAGGTCGAACTCCCGCCGCTGGCAATAACCTATAATATTGTACGATATTATAATATTATCTATACTGCACGGCGAACCGCCGGGTTTTCCCATAATGCCGACGCGGAAAAACGAGACGGCTCGCCCTGCAGCGTACACAATAATAATAATATACGACAGTGTGTATAATATAATACCTATGTGTTATAAACGCTTTCTATCGTTTTGTCAGGTACAAGGCGTACAAGGAGAGGATGGCCCGAATGTACGTTACGCAACGGTACGACCCGGTGTTCATCGAGCCGAACATGAAGGAATACGAGGTACAGGTAAGATTTGGATTAAGACTATGTGCTGGTGACGATCGATTAATATACCCTCAATCGACGGTTTTTTTTTTTTTGCTCAGGTGCTTCAAATGAGCGTGCCGATCGACGACAACGACAGCTACAACGACTTGCAACTGGATTTTAGCCGCAAAAATCACACGTTCAGTATGGACAACGTCGGATACATCACCAAAGAGAACGTCGACAGCATCGGTAATGACAATAATTATTAACATCACATTAAAATAGCATAATAATATTATGTATGAGTGTACAACAACAATTATTGCGTGCTCAGAACTTTCAAGCAGGGCGACGATATGAGAATACAGCCGAATGTGTTGTCCCCGTCTTACAAACGCAAGACACGGCAAATTTGCGTTTAACAAAATGTATTATACACCTATAGTATTATCAAATTTAAATGCAAGACCCGTTATAGACCATTATCTATGTTTTCGTGTTTACGTTGATGTTTTACGACGATGTATTAAATGTTAAGCGAATTATAACTCATTTTAAAATTAAAATATCAATAAAAGCCTGTGAGGTTCTCACGCATTCAAATTTTTTTTATAATAGCCGGTAAATTCACTCCAATATCCAAAAAAAGTCAACAGCACACAATTAGTTGTGCATAACTCAGATGTTGTCCATCATGTTGCGCGTGGGTCAAAGAGAGAAAACAAATCACGGGCAATCTAAACATTCTAAACCCCACCACACTAAAACGAAATCAATCATGTTACTAATATTAATCTAATATAATGTATACTAAGGCCATAAACGTTAACACGGGGCATCGAACGCAACGAGTGCTGCACCCGAATTTTTTTTTTCCCCCGAAAACCGATTGACTGCGGTCGCCGATTATTAATGTGCCAAACCACTGCCGCTAAGGTACCCACGTAAATAATTTTTCACATAAACAATGGTTGTCCAACTCGTTATTGTAATACGCATTCTTGCGCCCGAATCGAATGACCTAAATCGTAGCGGGGATGTCGAGTTTAGTAAAATTGTAACACTCGAATGCATGTAAAAATATTTTTTTATAAATATTATAACGACTTTAAAATTGGTCGTGAAAATTACTCAACGATAAAAAATTAAAATGCTGCCGAATGTAGACGATTTCCTAATTTTTCACATATATCGCGTAATATTTTTATACGAAATTTGTAATGCGATTTTTTCTCTATTAAAAGTGCGAATTGTACAAAAACGAACATAATTTCTTAGAACTATATTTTGTTGTGACTATAACGGCGATGAGAAAAAAAATCTGGATTATAAAATGTTTAAAAATAATTATAAAAAAAAATTAAACAAATTATGGTCGACTGAGATGAGATAATAAAACGATTTTTTAAATGCGATAGAACACTAACAATGATATTATCATGTCATTGCCGTTGTCATGATAGATGTCAAATAAAAATATATAAACACTCCGCCGAAAAGACCTATCTATACCTAAAATATTACACATATTTATACTTCTATTATAAAACAGTAGATGTAAAAAACATTGAAATTAATTGTACGCCTTGTTTCCGATGCATTTCATAACATATCTCAATCGTGTAATCCGCAGACGGACACAGCCCCGTGAGCTCGGAAGCGGCGACCACGGCCAGGACGTCGAGCATGGGCCGCGGCATGTCAAACGGCACTAGCACGTTCGGCCGGACCAACATGGCGTTCGACCCGGCGGACGACGCCGAGTCCGTGGCCGCGGCGGCCGTCATCAGTCCCACCAACGACAACGTGACGTTCCGGGAGAAGAAGGAGTTCGGACGTCCCGCCATCCACAACGGCAACGGGCTGACGACGTTCAACCGGAAGGACGTGGAGGTCACCACCGAACTGTGATCGAGCCCCCCGACCACCCGTCGTCCGCGCACACGAACGCGTATTTTATAGCATTATATATTATTATTATTACTATGTACAACTGATAACAGATAAAAATACGATGTTGTTATCGCGTCTAGTCCCCGCGGTCCCCAAACCCCCACCCATGAAACAATATTTTAAACCCTATCCCCTAAACTGCGGTCACTGTGATAACATCGTTTTTGTATATATTATATAATATTTATGTATAGATAGAGGCTATAGGTATGTACATGTATACACTTCCTCCCCACCCTATAACTAAATGCAACGAATATTGTTTTTTTTATACATACACGTGAACCTATAATTACCCTTTATTAGTGTATGAAACGATTAATTTTGTCAACGCGAATTCACCCCACCGGCCATTTCCCCGGTTTCTAATATGTAAGGTACCACCTAAATCGGTGTTACATCATAATATTATAATTTACAAGGCGATTCTTTTATCGGAGAACAATCATTATTTCAAAAACTTTATAGATGTCAACGTTTTTGATAATATTTTTAAGACGTTACAAAATAACATTTTTGGAAAAAAAATTCTACCTACGACCCACCTTTTTTTCGCTATCGCTTTTAAATTTTCGTACAACATACATTTTTATTTCGTTTTCCGAAACACAATATTTTTACACTTTGGAGTACCCTAGTGGTAGTTCGATGCATAAATATTGAATTTTGGACGAGTGATGAGTTATAACTCTAAATATTTACAACTATTAAACCTACCAGCAGGAATTCGATTTTTTATAGCATAGAAATATTAGACTTTGGATGAAAATGTATGTTGTGATTCAAAATAGACGCGGTAAAAAATGTTGTTTTTTAACGATTTAAATTACCTATTAAAAAATAATAAATAGATAACAGGTAATGATTTTGAAATAGTGAATGTTACTTGATATAATAAGAATCGTACAGTATAATATAATATGCGTTGAGATTGAACACTTTGTTACCAAACATCTGAGCGTTAATAAATTAACCTATAGCCAACGTAGGTCCATATATCCAATCCACGTGACCTATATTAATCTACGCTTGATAAACGGTAGTAGTAATATTAATAATAAGCTATGATCGGTCGTCACTCGTCAGATAAGGCCGAATATCGATCACCGAGGCAATTTACCTGTAGTGTAAGACAAAGAGAGGCGATAGATTTTTCTTATAAATTGAAATGATTCGAACGTTCGAGTGTATTATATGCCTATATTTTAAATGTGTGCCTAACAACCTAGTGTTGTATCATCGTATCGGGCCATACGATTGTCGGGCATTAAACTAAACGTAATTTTTTATGAACAATCGTTTTCGGGTGCGATTGATAAACATCAGTACTCACGGTTTAGGATAGATTCTACCTCAAACCGTGGTATACATATTGTATAAATAAAGTAGGTGCAGTGTAACGCCAGCTGTTATCCCGTCATCTGTTTCAAATCGTTAGTATTTTAAAACCACCTATGTGAGAGGACACGTGTATTCCCATCACACCCATACGTGAAATCGCCGAAATGGGTGACTATTGTAACCTGCAATTCAGAGTTCTGTGTGACAACGGAATCTTATTTTTTGATATTCATGCTGTTCTTAAAACTGATAGATGTTAAAAATTCCGTAGGTACACCAACGATTGAAATACGTACCTATCATACATATTGTACGCTACGACATACTATATAAATTATAGAAGGTAGTCAAGTATAATTGAAATTTAAAACTCGTCGAAAATTGTTAACGTTGTAGCTACAATTGGGAGGGGCATTGGAACGTGCAATATGAAACTAATTATTCATAGTTTTGTTTTATACATAGGCATATAGGTACCAGTGTACCGAGATGTACCTATATTATTATATTGATACCTATTTTTAATTCTCTGCATAGTTTTCTTCCCGTAATCAAGTGTTTTGTACTTTTGTAATTAACTATATTTATTATGTATAAAACTTTATAAACTTACCAATATTACCATATAATATTCACACGTCGTTAATAATCGTAACGACTTGTACAGTTGTTGTACTAACAACTTACCTGTAATACGAATTTAGCACAAATGTACGATATTTGCATACTATATAAGTATGAAGCGTACCCTAACGAATTCTTACAGAACAAAAAATATCGCTATAAAACAACTTTTTGAAATTATTGAATATTCTGTACTGAAATAATTAATGACGACTGTTTAGTTAGTTAAGAGTTTATGATATTTTTGATTTAAGTTCCATTAATCAGGTGCGTTCAGTGTTTAAATTAAATACTAAAAACATATAATTGTATGCCACTACGAATAAAAATTGGTATTGTAGTTGAAAACTACGAAGTATAACGTTGTATGGCAAACATAGTTATTGCGTTTGAACTGTGTTTAATGATGATAAAAAAGTACTCAAACAATATGTAAATAAGTATAATTTTTTAAATTATATTCATCTAGTGATTCAAACGTGATACACAATTCAGAAAACTCAAATATTAGAACACACTATACTGGGTTTAGTGTTGTAATCATAAATTAACTTATTGAGAATTACATTTTGTCTTTTATTTATTATAATATAATATATGGACGCAGCCACAATAATTCCAATCAAATTAGTCATAGGTTTTTTTTTTCATGTAAAAATGTAGTTATTAATATGTATACTTACATGTGTGTAATTTATATTCTTATTGATTTGCTCATATAAGATATTTCAGTTTGTCTAATATTGTTAAAATAGGGAACAAATTGCCATATTTAATTGTAAGGGCAAACGTTGAACGTTCTCCTGAAGCTCAAATTGTGAAATAATTTATTATAAAAATTAAACAAAACATAGTAAAATTAAAACCATTTTGTAGTGTAATTTAGTAATATAACGATTTGTATAATATTATGTTGTTGTAATAATATTACGTTCTTGGTTTATTATATTTTTTTTATACGATTATTTCAATTTTGTATACAATTAGTAAAAATATATGTTTGATATTTATGTGTATATTTGTGTAATTATTTTTCATTTATAAAAAATTATAGTCAAATAATTTTTATAAAATAGTACAATTATATTTTAGTTTTTATTTTCCATGCTACTGATTTCTTCTTTTATTTTATTAGTGGCCAATAATTGTTCATCTTGTTTACGTAATCTAGCCAACTTTCCATCCATATTTAATCCATGCCTAGCAGCTCTGAAACAAGAATGTGCACTTTAACTTATAAGTATTAAGTTTATATAAGACACAAGATTTGCACATAGAACTTATTTACATCATATATAATTTATGTAATATATTTGCCTTTAACTTACTTATGACATGTAATCCCACCACAAGCTTGGAATAACTGTTCATCTGATAACTCTAAAATGGATTTAACCTCTTCGATTTTAATTTTCTAAACAAAAATAATATATTAATTTAAACATTTTAAATATTCATGTTCAAACCAAGGAAAAATTTGTCTTGGTCTGAAGGGGGCTTTATGCAAAAGACGGGATGAAAATTGGCACGAAAATCGTATAGCATGTTAATAATTAATAAATGCTAATTACCTTAGCTATTTTCTTCTTTTTTTTCTTTTTTGATTTAAAAGTAACATTTCCATCCTGAAAAAAAAGAACATTTTGTCGAATCAAATATTTAGTATTTAACATTAGTAATACTAAATATATTATTTAATATTTTTTATAGGTAACTTTATTTTCTACATTTGAAATAATTACTTTATTTTTGACATCTATCCCATTGGCTGCATCGTTGTATGTTCGAGTCCACCATTTATCACCATACGACTCAGCATTAGCTGTATCATAACCAACACCAGTTTGGTCAAATTTTAGACTTGCACGGACGGGAGCGGCAATTCCATCTTCTTTTTTGCCTAGACCCTTGCCTAACCATTTGATATCAATCAGAAAAAAATTATTATTTCAACTAAACAAACAAACTGTTTGCTTAGGTAATTATAAATTGGTACTTAAATGTGTCAATTTGCTTGTCTGTCAATCGGTTCAACATATACACCAATGATTTGTAGATCTTCTAGTAATTTCTATAGTTTACATGTAGTGGTGATATATAATATGAACAACAATATTATAATCGGTTAAACGATTGGTATTATGTAAAGTGTAAGATCATATTATCTATATAATATTTTTTTTAAATATTATTTCAAAGTGGGTGAAATGGTTAGATTTTTAATGTCCATATTGCATTAATATGGAATAAATGTTTGGAAACTATATTATTTTTTAAGCTTATGGTGTATTTAGCCTTCATGATTTTATTTCATTGGGTCACACATAATGTTATTAATTAACTTTTAGTTGTTTTTAGTGCACTATTGTAGGAACACATTTATCCACATTTATGAATGCTAAATGAAGTAAGAAATTGAGGAGGATAAGAATGTTAACTAAAAAAAAAAAATACTTTTTTAACAACAATTTTTTTTACTTATGTACGCAGAAAAATAATTACATAACCAAGTACAAATACAAAATATACAATTTAAAAAAATTTATTTACTAGAATGTTGAAAATTTAGGTCATAGGGAGTTCGGAAAAAAGAAAAGTATATATTATGAGCTCTGCAAAATACAATGTTTAATATGTAAATTCCTAAAAACCATAATTTTTTCTTCTATGATTGTTAACTCAGTCGACATTACAATATTTACAATGGTAGTGGTACAAATAAGTTTGACGCATGTCCGTCAATTATCACATAATCAATATTATAGTTTATAGCTCGACGCGTGAGATGATGATGTTAGCTATTTATAATATTTGTGTGTACGAGTATGTACTAGGAGGTCTACTCGTTAAGTGAATAATGTTTGACTTATCATGTATATAAAAATAATAAAAGACCAAACAAAATAAAGGCACTTAAATTGTTAACAACAAAACGAAAACAAAAATCAAGTGTCGGGAAGAGCATTATATTTTTATTATATTGCACAACGACACACACCAGAAATCGAAACATTTATCTAAGAGAGAAAAAGTATTTGCAAAATGTTTTTTTTTTGTTCCATTTTTCCAATTTATAAAATAAAAAAAACAAATGAAAAATACTTATTCAAACATTCTGTTTTGTTATGAAAACAAAAAATAATAATGTATGATATATAGTTTCGATTCCAGTTTACAAACAATAAATACTAACTCTGACTAAAACCTAAACCAGAATCAGAATCTCTTCGTTCTTTACGATTTCTCTTTGGAGTTGTTTCATTTGGACTATGATCCCTTTTTAATCCTCTGTCGTCTTTACTGATTTTAATACGTAAACTACTTCCAGAACCTGGACCATTACCTCCAATTCGTTCTTTGGCAATTTTTAACTTAATGCCTCTAGGTGGAGAATGTGGTGTAGTTATAACTACAGGTGGTATTTGCTTAATTTTTTCTTTTGGTATTGTAATTCTAATAGGTTCCGGTTCTTTGTGTTTATCTTTATGCTTGTGATGTTTATGTTCTCCGTCCTTGTGTTTTTTATCTTTTTTATGTTTCTTTTTCTCACGTTTTTCTTCTTTGTGTTTTTTCTTTTTCTTTTTATGTGTATTTGAATTACAAGTTTCTCCATCCATTTCAATAGTGCCAGTTGGACCAACAGGATTCAACATTAGCTCTGGATCAAATTTAGGTACATCCAGCATTTCTGGGCTCATTGGCTCAGATTTTATATAAGATTCTAGTAATGTTTCAGATTTAACATAACTTTCTATTAGTGGTTCAGATTTAGTGTAACATTCATCTATTGGTTCAGATTTAATAACAATATTATTTTCTGCTGGTTCAGATTTAATAATAAAAGGTTTAACATCTTGTGGTTCATCTTCAGGTACTGGACTAAATATTGATGGCTTTTTAACTTTGGGTGGAGATTCTCGAGGGGATTTGATCACAGATAAAATATTTAAATCATTATGCTTGGTCATTTCTTTGAGCACACTTGTTATTACTTCAGAATGGTTATCTCGGCCAACAGAGAATTGATTTCGAATAGGTTCAGGTTTGACTACCATTTCTTGCTTAATAACAACATCCTGTTTAGTAACATTTTCTGGAGGTTTAGGTATTGATTTAGGTCTTTGTGGGAGAATTTCATTTTTAATATTATTATTTAAAGTTGTTGGTATTTCAACTTTAGGTTTCACTGGTGCTAGTGATTTATTTGGAACAATTGGTGTAGGTTGTTCTTTAGAAGGAATAGGTCTAGTAGCAGGTACTACAAATTTGTGATCGACCGGGACACCATTAGTTCTGGTTGGAGGTTGGAAGACTACAGGATTAGGAAATTTGGACGGCGTAGGCCTGGTATTTATCATTCGGGAATGACCCTGGTGTTTGTAATTAGAAGGCAAAGTAGGGGTTGGTGATTGCATTTGTTGAGAAGAACAATAATTTGCTAGTGCTCCATTTTTGTCCATCGTATTGGTGGCCATTAATCGTTTTTTCAGACGAGATGGACATTTATCAAATATTGTTAAAAATTCTGTGGTTAATTGTTCTAATAGTTCGGTTGTTACACTTTGATCTACATACCAAAACCATGGTTTTCCTTCCATACTATCTTTTAACTCCCATTTTGACCATTTGCAAGCTAAATGTATACAAAAGCAAGCTACAATGGTTGGTTTGTATTGGACACACATGGTGGTTAAATGTAAGCTATTAGATGCCATGAAATATGCTGTCTGGGCAAGATCTTTGCTGGCTCTCACCAAATGACAACATCTTACTATGTGAGTATGAGGGTGATCAATGGCTGTTTCAAAACCTAAGGTTTTTAACAATGTCTCTTCATTTTTTAACAAGTCTTGTACTTGTTCTAAATAAACTTCAGATTTATTATCAATGTGATGAAAATTATGACCATGTTGTTTATTTAGGCAAATTATGGAAACCTTGAGAACATGTTCTAATTTTCGAGGTTGTTCTTCATTCTTAGCAGCAAGAAAAAGACACGCAGTAGCTATTGCATTGCGATGAAATAGCGTAAAGGGGTGGTACATGTAGAAACGGTGCATATACACAATGGCAGTGTTTATACACAGTTGGGTGGTGTGCAACCTTTGGCCCATCTCTTGAATGAGGTTGGCAGCAATCTGTCGGTATGACAGCTCTTTATCAGCATCGATGCCAAATCGTTTGCTGGGTGTATTCTCCAGCTGCTCTTTTGAGAAGTACCAACGATCCTCATGCATGGCGCTCACCACCCTAAACACAATTATTCTATATGTTAGTCCAAATGATACATAACGAAAGATAAATGCAATTAAATAATGCATAATATTTACTACCCATTGTGTTTCCTATTGGCTATTAGTACACGAAGATTACAAAATAAACAATAACCATGTTTATAATTTTATTTATTTATTCCTCAACTGAATGCATGAAAAATCAAGAAAGATATTATTTATACAACAAATTTGAAACATAATACATTAAATATAATATAAATTAAAAGTAGAGTTACAACTATAAACTAACGAGTAATTTTAGAGGAGACTAAACCAATAGTAATAAATATTTCTTGTTAAGAATAAACAAAAAGTTAGTTTAACCTAAAGGTTAGCTTTTAAACATAAGGATGTCTGAAAGAAGTTTAATTAACAAATGACCTTGTTTTATTTCTAGATAAAATCTAAACATTTTTAAAAATTAACATTTATGTATCAATAATGTATTCTAAATCTATAGTAGGTACATTTTGTTTATTAACAATAACAATAAAAAATAGAGGGCTAAAAATATTAATATTATTGGATAATTGTTTAAAATTTCAAAATGTGATGATTCTATTATATAATTAAATATCATTTATAATATAGGTATTAAACCATGTTTAACAGTGATATGAATTAAAAAATATTTTATAAATTTTAGTTTAATTCACTTTTAAAAGTAATACACCAGGCAACAACATTCTACAATAATTAACACATCTATTCATATGACTTTCATCATACTTGTAAGACTTACTCATCTAACATGATTTAAATGTAATACAAAATTAAATCAAATGAAGGGGACACCTAATGTACCTAATTATAAAATTATTCAACATAAATAGGCAACTATTCAATCTAATATTAATATATTATGGATTAATACTTTGAAATTTTAATAGCAAAAGTGCTTTGTTTGAATGACTGGCTTAGAATCAATACAAAAAACTACATATACTTTTTATAGTTGTTTTATCAGATTATACTATGTACCTACAGCAAACAGTATTTCCTTAAAACAAGCGAATTTTCAATACTAAAAATATATTCACCTAATATAAATTAACCTCATAACACAATACTGTTAATGGCCAATAAGATAGAATACAACATGTTAACCATAGGTGTCTAAAGATACAGCATACTAGTTTAAAAAAAAAAATTCCACTGTGGTATTATTCTGACAGAGTAAAAATGGTAGAATACTTATTTTTCATTAGAGTATCTGTTTAATAATACTTATCAATACTAAATTACCACATTTAGACAACCGATTCAAATAACTGACTAATATGTTGACAAAGAAAATAATTGATTACCAGCACAAATTATTTAGACAGTAATTATTTAACACAGAAATATGATAAACATTCACCAAGTGTATTGATATCAATTTACAATACTAATCCAGCAAAAGCACTGAGATTCGAACCGACAGACAGATTGCAAGCAAGTGTACAAGCACAACGTTAACATAAGACATTGTATAATGTACTAAATGTTTTGTAAAAACATCAAGATCAAGAAATGGTAACAGAAAACAGGGGATAAAACAATTTTATTATAACTGCGTGTGTTTTAAAAAAAAAAATTATTTTGTTTACCTTGAGTCCAGCCGTATTTACGTAAAATAGTTTCGCCAAAGCTCATGGTCTTGGCGGCGTGTAAATACGACAATCACCTATGACTATATGAGAACATTATTGCAGTGAGAACATGTCTCTATTTTCAGACAAATTCTACTTGAAGTCTTAAAAATTGAAATTATAAAAATTATTGGCGAAACCTACTTGCTTAACACAAGTCACAAATCACAAACGCAACATCATAGACCCAACCTAGAAAAACAAGTTACAAAAACGGATCCATGGATGATAAACACAAATACAATAATTTTTATCTCAAAAATTACAATTGTATTTCAATAAATTTTACAACATTCTTCACGAAAATCCGAACAACAGAAACAATGTGATATCGAACTGGATTAATTGCAAATGTAATTGATATAAATCGAAGACTTCAGTAATTAAATTGAAATTAAAATACCATAACACAAGAAAATAATGTATAAGGGGCCATAAAAACAATCAGAAAAACGTGAACACTGTAAACCACGACGACGACGACGACGACACTGTAGACCACGACGAAAACGACAGTACATATAATAAAATAACATTGGCGATAACAACAGTCACAAATGATCAAGCGTACCGTGAGGGTGTCCGTGCGTACACGGTTTTGGAATAAAAAAAAATGTAATACCTATTCGACGAGTGCGTAATATATACCAAATGGAAAATAATATCAGTACATTACCGGATTTACAGGTAAACTGTTCAAATGTTCAATTATTCAATATGAATTATAATATTTAAAATTTAGTTTTTTCACAACAGTTGTTCATTACACATAACACAGTAGCGGTACCCATAATAATAATAATATATTTTACCTAGTAGACAAATAAATATTTAAAACCTTAGCATATAATTAGTCAATATATTAACTATTCTATACCAATTGATCTTATTACCAATATTATAATCTTGCCTGAGTTATTCAAGAATTTTAACTAGACCAAATAAATAAACTAATGATATATTTTTTTTATGATTTAAGTACTTATTACCTAATTTTAATGTTAAAAATGATTTTATGTGAGTACATAAATTAACAAATAACTTTTTTAAATATCGAACCTACTTTTAACTGTTACTTGTTAGAATATACATTTCTGATTTCTGAAACCTTTTTTAACTGAATTGTATTAATTTTAATACAGGTTTTAATATCTACTATTAACATAGAGTTAAAATAGTTCAAACTAAAATCAATTACCTACATTGTTTAATGATTAGTATAATTAAAATACTATTTAATGTTATATTTGATACAAAAGCTTAGAAATTATACTTCAACATCAAAATTGTTGTCATAAATAAAATTAGCTATACCCTTCACCCCGTCATCCATAATTTAATTTTTATTAAACTAATTATTTAAATACAATTCATAAATACTTCTTACCTACCAGAGAATAAATTATGGTAATTTTAATATACAAGAACTGAATCAAAATTTAAAAAGTTAATTAATTAAATATTCAATCAATCTTAAAAATGCCAAATAACAAAGAAAATTAAACATTTAATTCAAAAACATAGTTATTTATATATTTATGTTATTCGTGTAAGTTATTAGTGCTATTACCATATTTTTTTAAATACATTACTCTAACTTAGATAAAAATCTATTTAATTTTCAAAAATATCATAAGAACAGAAACCAAAATAAAACTATCCCAGATAATAAAAAATTAGTTTTGGATACACATATCATATCTAAATATGTTAAATGAGTTCTTTTATTCTGTAATTTTACTGGTTTGTTCTTTTTTAATCAAAAGAGGGTTATGTTCTTGCTATACATTAATGCATTTTTTTCATATTAAGTATCCCTCAATATAGCTTAAAATATAATGAACAATTGTAATTGTAAATCAGTTAAGTACCTATAGTTAAACAATGTAAATTAAAAGTTGATAAAATGTACGATATTTAGATAGGTAGCTAATATTAATAAACTTTATATTAGTATTCGTGTTTAATAAAAATGTATTTAATAAATTGGCATAAAATATATACATCCAAAAATAAATGAATGTGTATTCAAAATGTCATGGGAAAGGTTTTTAATATTTAACAGTACCTGTGATATGCTATTTAAATCAATTTAATATAATTATCCCATATAATGTATCCATGTAGGTACTTATTATATTTAAATAGCATTCATTTTTATGGATAACTATTATAATAGCATTAATTATCATTCCAAAAAAGGCACCTACATGCAAAGGAATTAATATAGCCCATTTTTGGGCCAAAAAAATGTAAACCAATAATGACAGTCAATCCTAATAATATTATTTGTATTTTAACTCCTTCAAATTAAATACCCATGTTATAATATATTACTGTTATAGACGCTTGACACCCAAAACAAAATGAATTATAATTTTAATAAAATATTCATTTAAAGCAAATTAGAATCTTAATAGGTACCTAGTTAATTATTATTAATTAATTTTAAAAATGTATTGAATGTGTTATTCCAAATGTATTGGTACATTTGAACATAATTTTATTTTCAAGCTAAAAGAACTACATTTTAGTTTAATGAGATTTTAATTAATAATATATTAAACATAGCTTTTCAAACAATTATTATTAATATTGAAGTATAATTCTCATGCCTATAAGAAAATCATTAATGAAAAGCAAATTCACTTATAAAACGATCAGTTTTGTTAAGTGCCTACACTCGTTCCAAAATGTTTTTATTTAATGTTAGGTACCTACGTCATAAAAAAAAAAAAAAAACTTTAAAAGTATGTTTTTTTTGACATTTTAGTGTTCTACAATGACATCAAGGTATGTAAAAAAAAAAAATAGATAATTAACCTAACCTAACCTAATAATATAGTCAATGAGTGAAGATAACTTTAAAAAAATAGCTGTTAAAATATAATATCTTACAATTTGTTAAAAAGTCCCTATTTAATCAAATCAATTCAGCTGAATAATTTAGTGTTAATTCATCAAAATTACAAAATAATACTTTATAATATATACTTCCAAATAAAATAATTCAAAAATTGTCAATGTTTTGTAAAATATATCACTCTAATGCAGTAGTTCTCAAACTGAGGTACACATAGCCTTATAGTGGGTATGAGCCTTTAAATTTAACTAGAAGAAAGACTCCAAAATCCTAGGTATATGATTCGCAAATTTCAGGTATAAAACGGTACCGTATACTATACTAAATAAAAGTTTAAGATTTTTTTTATATATTTTAGCTTACTAACTGAAAAGAAGCACTTAAAAAACTGTATTGGTAAAAAGGGGTATAGTCTCTATACAAGTTTCAGAACCCCTGTTCTAATGTAATGTGCTGAATATTAATAAATTGTTGCATTAATATCGCGAGTTATAATTTATTTAAGTCACAATATAATATTTATTTGCATGTCAAGTGTCTTTATTGGTAATGAATTGATTCATTGACAGGTATTTAAGAAAAATAACACATTATAATATCTAGAAACTGTATTCAAATTTAAAATAATGAAATTTATTGACTCATATCCAGTTAATGTATAACGAATAATGATCAAATAATAATTAAAAGTGAGGTGATAAAACCATTGACACCTATGATAGCTAATATTAATATAATAACAATGTAACTTAATAAAAATTTTCTATGACTATGAAATATATGTATAATGTAGAATTGTATTTAATTGTGTATATAAAATATATAACTTTTGAATTTGAATTGTATGAAATAGGTAATAATGAAGTTAAATAATTTAACTAAACTAAAAATTTTATAACAATTTATGTATTAAATTTTAATGAAAATAAATTAATATGACACCATTTTTTAAATTACACATATCAAAGTAATACAAATTATTGAAATTTATTGTCAAATAATAAAATACGTGGATTTTTGTCTACTTGATATATAATATAATAATTTTTCCCTGATTGGTCTTTTCCATCTCTTGAGAATATTGGTACACGTTTTAAAATTTTTCCTAATGCACACAACAGACAAACACATTTTTAATGATTTTTTGGTTATCTTGAAAGTAAAATCGCCAATTACAAAAACCACAGAAAGGTATTTTAGAAGATTTAAAATATTAATTTTTTCTTTTGTTTTATTATTTGACTTATATTTAAAAAAAGTGTTTTGTACATTTAAATGGATAAATTAATTTTTAGAATTAATTTTTAGACAAAATTGTATGTTAAGTCCTAAGCATTATTTGGTGGAATTTGGTACTTTAAAAAAAACGTAAAATTAATTTTGCATGAATGCATTCTGTTTATATTGTGAGTTGCGGGTAGGTCAGAAACAAATAGTGTGCTGCTATGATTCATTATAAAATTTATTTTACAAACCTTAATACTCAAGTTATATTTTAACGATTTAAGTCTATTAGAGTGTGCACAGATATAGAATTGTTTAATTTGAAACACAATTTAATGTTTGGATATGTCGAGAGAATTATACAATGTCACCAAATTTAATCATCATAGGTCCTCAGGCTTAGAAAACATTATTTGGTTTTAAGGAATTTGTTTACAAAACTGAATTTTCATTATTTATATTAATATAGTAAAGTTGATGTTAAGATTATCAAAATACTACAACATAATCTAGTTTATATATTATTATCAACAGTAGCGTACTCACAAGCAATGATCATGGGGTTTCATATTTCCCTTATGGTTTTCATATTTTGTTTTGAATGATTTTTAATATTTCATATAGGTTAAGTTGATTGATAGCAATAAAATATGCCTCTAAAAAAACTTATCTATGGCGACCATGGGTTGATTTACGCCAAAAAGTTTCTAATAACAGATGGTTTTATACAATTTTATTTAATAATATAATTTTAAGATATTTCAGTGCCTATTTAAAATTATTATAATCACTTGCACTTTAGGTAGGAATATTCATTTTTAAATTGTCTGTATACTCCAAGAATGTTTTGCTTCAGAGATCAATTTAACCATTTGATGAAAAAATAGATTCTTTCCTAGACTATTTAATAAATAATTAAATTTTACCTGAATCAATATTTACAACCCATATGTCAACCAAGATAATTTTTTGATTGGAAATTCATTTAATTTATTTAAACTTAAATGAAATGCCTTATATCAACCAAATTTATATAAATGTATAGAAAATGTTAAATATAAAATAATATGGATTTATTTAGTATATTTGAACTATGT